GCAGGGAAGCAGGCCGACAAGGGCGAGGGGTCGGGCATCGCGGTGACGAACGAGTGCAGGGCCGGCGCGGAGGTCTTCGTGCCGCTCACCGCGCTCCACAGGCAGGTGGTGGATTCCTATGGCGGGCCTCGGATGCAGGGGCAGCGGCGCGCGCAGCTGTGCGTGCGGCGCCGAGCGGTGCTGGACGCGGCGGCGTGCGAGCAGGAGGGCTTCGTGGACGGCGTCGGCGTGGAGTCGGAAGAGAGCGAGCAGGACAGCTTCTCAGACGGCGTCGGCGAGGACTCGGAGGAAAGCGAGCAGGTGAGGGGCGACGAGATCGAGGATAACGACGACCTGCGGGCGGCCACGTCCGACGGCGTGTCGGAGGCGACCTGCGAGTCTGACGGCGACGGCGGGGGCGAGCTCGGCGAGGGCTGGCTCCTCGGGCGAGCTGGACGCCACGTCGGAGGGCATGCTCAGGAACGACCCTGACGAGGAATCGAGCGAGAGCTCGACTGGGGTCGCCGTGAACCGCTTCGCAGGGGTGATGGTGGAGAAGCACGTGGCCAAGGCTGCGGAGCTGCCTGCGGGCCTGCGCGACGATGCGCGCTGTGGCGTCGAGAGCGCAGGATCGTCGGGCGGCGGCATCGCCACCAAGGAGATCGTCGGCATGAGGGAGGGTACCCAATGGAGGGACCTGAGGGACGAGGAGCCGATCCGTTTCGCGGGGGTCCAGGTGGAGGAGAGCGTGGCCTGGCCGCGGACGCTGCACGAGGACCTGCCGGCGGTGGCTGACAGGCTCCTCGCGGAGCACGAGGCGGCCGCCAGGGCGAACGGAGCCAGAGCCGGCGGCAGGGGCAGGGGTGGCAATGGGGCGGCAAGGGGCGGCCGCAGAGGCCGCCCTGGGCCGCGCTGGGCCGAGACGGGAGCCGGCTGGCCTGCGCGGCGGGACGGCCGGAGGTGACGCGCGCTGAGCGGCGCGCGCGCGCCCGACTGCACGCGCGTGGCCCTGCCTCGTGGGACCGCGGTGGGCGGCCCTCGAGGCACCGTCCAGGAACGTCCAAGAACGTCGTCGTCGTCGTCGTCGTCGTCGTCGTCGTCGTCATTGCCACCGTCGTCGTCGAGGCATCCAGGCAACCAGGGGGGATGCGGGCATCCACGGGCGCGCCAGGGCGAGGCCGAGCGCCACGGAGGAGCCTGTGAGGGCGAGGAGCGGAAGGAGGGTCGGGAGTCCAGGAGGGTCAGTGCGGCTACCGCACGGGGAGCCTCTGGACACGATCGAGCCCTGAGAAACTCGTATAAGCTCGTGGAAGCCCGCGAACCTGCCAGAAGCCCTGAGAGAGCCCTGGGGAACTCCGGAGAGCCTCCTCCCACAACGCGCGCCCTCCACGCCTGTCGATCGCAAGGGTGTGGCAGGCGCACCCCTTCCGCAGGCCTCGCTGCAGGCGCCGTGGCCGCCGAAGCCCACGGGCTCGCCCAGCGAGGGGGGGCGCGGGGGCGATCGCGCGCCAGGCCAGGGCGCCCGCTCTGCTCCACGGGGGGGGGACTGGCATGGGGGAGGATGCATCGACCTGGAATCGGCGATACCAGGTTGGGGCTATCGGACCCCCCATGGGCGATTGGGGGTCGAGGCATCCCCCCCTACGCCGACCCCCTATCGTTGCCCCGGAGGTCTCCAGGGCCTGACACAAGGGCCAGAAGCGTCCGAAAACGCTCCCCCGCGATCCTCGAGAGTCGAGGGCAAAGCTTGGCAGGCCAGGGGGAGGACTGTTCTTCCCACTGCCACCGCTGCTGTCCGTCCTCCTCGATCTCCTCTTCCTCCTGTCTCCTCCCTCCTGTCTCCTGCTCCTCCTCCTCCTCCTCCTCCTCCTCCTCTTTCCCCTCCTTCTCCTCCTCATCCTTCTCCTCCCCTCCTTCCTCCTCTTCCTCTGCACAACGACCCCCTCCCCCTCAACCGCGCACTCCCGCTCCCCCATTGCCCGTCGCGCCCTGTGGGCCGATCATCAGGCAAGTTGCGGGCGCGTCGCTGTCGGATCCTAGTTTCGGGACGGTCGAGGGCGGGTCGGGTCCAGGTTGCGGGCGGGCACGAGCGGGTCCAGTGCAGGTCGCGAGTCGCCGATGACTCCGTCGGGGTGCGGGAAAGGGACGCGACGTAATTCATTGACATGGCCCCTTTGCACAGCGCACTTGGCAAGACCGTCCAGAAGCTTTGATCTGACAATGTGGAGCTCAATGGCGCCTCCGATCCTACTACATACCTCGACCGCGGGACAAACTTAGTCCTACGCCCCGGCGGTGTTCACTTAGGCTCCACCTGCGACCAAATTCGACCCTTCTTGCCACTCCTCACGACTGCGCAGAATCACTTATGGCGCCGCATCGTGGGACAAACACTGGGCAAAACGTCACAAACATACCATCGATCACGTGCCTCTGACTCGATCCGTGATGATCGGGCTAGGGAAAGCCAAGAGCACGAGGAATCATGACCGGATTTGAGGGCAGCGGCTAAGGCAAAGACATGGGGGTCGCCCGCAGGAATAAAAATGTTACGGTGTGGTTGGTGAAACTTCGCCTGCCCAGCAGGACTTGAGCCTTGGGCTCGAGGCCGCAGGTACCGCGAGCCGACATGTAGGAACAGCACAAGTTCCAAGGAGAACGACGTTCGGCTGCAATGCTGTGCGAGAGGCAGGGGTATTATTTCGGAAGTGGCAACGCAACACGCGCATCCACAGATGCTGGAATTACGGACCGTACCCCTGGGACCATGCACCAACTCTTAGGCACCTCTCACGATCAAATCACTGGAGTGCGCACCAGGCGAGACAGCCCTTCACCAGAGGACATGACTAGATCACACATGCGCGATAGGTTGGACCAGAAAGCTCGAGCGACGAACCCAGTCGCCGTACTCAGAACCAACACCAGAGCAAAAACGACGGCGAGTGTGTGTCGCTTGACCCCCCCCTGGCGAAACATACATGTCTGACGGCCCACACTTCGAATGGGGGATCGACTACAGAATTGATTTACTCCAGAATTGACTTCTCGTCGAATCTGCGAGAATTACGTGGGATGATCTACGAGCATCCTACGTCTTTGTTCATACAATCGACGAGGCAATCAATTTTGGTGTCAACCGATTCTGTAGTCGATCTCCTATTCGAACACTCGGGGTGCGGGCTCGAGGCGACCAGGGCCGACAGCAGCCCACTGACAAGTCATGGCAGCGCCCTGCCGACGTCAGCAGAGGGGCAGACGTGCTCATCCCGCGCACGGGCGGTACACGCCGGTCGGAAGAAGCAAAAGTAAACACGTGGAGCAGGAAGGCGGATCAAGCAGCTTTTTTTTTCGCCAGGCAAGTGAATTTGCTTATTCGGTGATTTGTCAACATCCGTGGAACCCAGCATGGAAACCAGGGGATGGGGGTCAGGAGGCGTGGAGGGAAGAGGAACGAATGGAAAACACAAGAGGAGCAGAGAGCCACAGCCTCAGCCGCTGTGGGGCATGCTCGACAGGAACTGGTTGGCCCTCTGCACGGCGAGGTCGTAGAGTCTGCGTTCATGCCTCGTCAGATCTGCCAACACCTCCAGATGCCGCTCAGAAATCTTGCACGGCTTGTGGCCCTTATTGGCATGAGCTTTGCTGAGTTAACGGGTGATACTAATCAAGTCCGGGAACCATGAAGCAACAACGTCGAGCGTAGAACTGCTACTGATTATAATTGAGACGCAGTGGGCAATGTTCATCAGTGTGGAATTGAAGGCGAAATCCCACTCTTGGCTTTCCGTGTCAGAAATGAATAGTGGCTCATCGACCAGGCCACTCAGCATGCGAAACGGCTCATTCATGCAGCTGTACCCAAACTGAGAACGACCCGCAAGAAAGAATTGACACATCTCATCGGCGCCCATATCGCCAAGGCAGCGAGGGGCACCCAATTTCAAGAATCGGTAATCATAACATGACTGAATGCGCGACACGGCTTCCCGAAAATTCGTAATACAGGACAACTGCTTAACGCCCTCCGTCCACATTCCGTTTGCATCATTTTTGCCACTCAGCGCGAAATGGCGAGACGCCTCCAACCAGGCCACGTGCCCGCCATACATGGCTACCCTGCTAGATCCGTAGCTATAAGAATCACAGGCTGCGTTGTGGCATTTGATGTGGCACGGCAAACTCAAAGTCTTCGCGGCGCCTGCCATGATGCCTCTCAGAGAGGTGCCGCCAGCTTTCCTCTGGTGGATGAACACCAGCGGGCGCTCCACGGAAACGTGATCGACCCTCGGGGGCAGCGGCGCCTGCAAGAACGCCCTGGCGGCATCCTCGATCGACAACAGAGGGGCAAGCGGGCCTGCCCCTCTGCTGCTGATCTGTTGGCCCGCGCCGCCGCCGCCGCTCTCGCCGAGATGGCTGCGGTGGGGCATGCTCGACAGGAACTGGTTGGCCCTCTGCGCGGCGAGGTCGTAGAGTCTGCGTTCATGCCTCGTCAGATCTGCCAACACCTCCATATGCCGCTCAGAAATCTTGCACGGCTTGTGGCCCTTATTGGCATGAGCTTTGCTGAAACGGGTGATATGAATCAAGTCCGGGAACCATGAAGCAACAACGTCGAGCGTATAACTGCTACTGCTTATAATTGGGACGCAGTGGGCAAGGTTCATCCGTGTGGAATTGAAGGCGAAATCCCACCCTTGGCTTTCCGTATCAGAGTTGAATAGTGACTCATCGACCATGCCACTCAGCATGCGAAACGGCTCATTCATGCAGCTGTACCCAAACTGAGAACGACCCGCAAGAAAGAATTGCCACATCTCACCGGCGCCCATATCGCCAAGGCAGCGAGGGGCACCCAATTTCAAGAATCGGTAATAATAACATGACTGAATGCGCGACACGGCTTCCCGAAAATTCGTAATACAGGACAACTGCTTAACGCCCTCCGTCCACATTCCGTTTGCATCATTTTTGCCACTCAGCGCGAAATGGCGAGACGCCTCCAACCAGGCCGCGTGCCCGCCATACATGGCTACCCTGCTAGATCCGTAGTTATAAGAATCACAGGCTGCGTTGTGGCATTTGATGTGGTACGGCAATCTCAAAGTCTTCGCGGCGCCTGCCATGATGCCTCTCAGGGAGGTGCCGCCAGCTTTCCTCTGGTGGATGAACACCAGCGGGCGCTCCACGGAAACGTGATCGACCCTCGGGGGCAGTGGCGCCTGCAAGAACGCCCTGGCGGCATCCTCGATCGACAACCGAGGGGCAAGCGGGCCTGCCCCCCCGCTGCCGATCGGTTGGCCCGCGCCGCCGCCGCCGCTCTCGCCGAGCTGGCCGCCCTTCGATGGGCCCAACCTGATGAGGGTTGCAAATGCGCCGCAGGCGACGCGCGTCGTTACATTGAGACCTGGGCACTTTTTTCCATCGCCACATCAAACCACGAGGTGCTTTTGCAGGCTTGTGCGAGCAAACTGGATGCAAGCTGGATTGCAGGCGAGCTCAAGCCTGAGACTTTACACTCGGGAGGGCAAGGGAGGGAGAACCGAACCAAAAGGCTACACTGCAGAGCGTGTAAAGAGAGTGATGCAGCGCGGACTCAACTGTGAGCAAGCTCTGGAGATGAGACCTGGGCACTTTTTTTCCATCGCCACATCAAACCACGAGGTGCTTTTGCAAGCTCGTGCGATCAAACTGGATGCAAGCTGAATTGCAGGCGAGCTCAAGCCTGAGACTTCACACTCCAGAATCCCGCAAGCAAGGGCAGCCACGACAGACAGAGCACACTGAGTGAAAAACACAGCGTAGCTAGAGGGCTGGCGCCACGAGACTAGCCAACAAAGTGAAGAAGTCATGTGGGCATGGCTGCGCTAAGGCCGTGCGCCAAACACCTCTGGCGTCTTTTCCCTCGAGAATAGTGTGAGCCTTGCCAGAGCGCGAGCAGACACTGCGCGAGGGACGACACCGCGGCAACACAAGCGGTGGCCAATGTACAAACAGGATCTTAGTTGCCTTTTTTCCAAGGCGTTCCGAATTGGCCAAAGTCTGTAACCTGCATGTTAGCGTTTTTCAGGCGCTCCAGCTCCTGAATCTCGCTGGTGAGCCAGACACGACTAGTGGCGGGATTCTCAAGAGCACACAAACAGCCACAGGCAGCGGCCAGCTTAAAAATCCGAGCAGACTGCCTAAGAAGCAAATTGTGATAAAGCACCTTCTCATTATCCTTGGGCGAGAGATCAGGGCGGCCATTCATCCCTCAGTGGGCCAGGCCCCCTCCCGTCCCAGCGCCTGGCTCTCGACCATGTCTGGCAGGGCAATCCAAACCAAAGGCAGACCACCTCCCGATCCAGCATGGCCTTCTCCAGCCTCTGCAGCGACTCCGCCCTCAGGAAGTCAGCCGCCTCGCCTTGCTCGACGCCCCAGGCCTCGGCTGGGATGCTGGCGCAGGCGAGCGCCTCCGAGAGCCGCCCACTGCCAGAGAAGACCTCGACGGCACGACACCCCTGGACGCGGCGGCGGCCCTCGGGAACAAAGGGGTGTGGAACGCGGTCTGCAACTTGTCTAATGCCACGGCGCCCTTCTGGTTCGTCTCGTCGGAGACCTTGGCCTGCTGCTGTAGCAGGCGCCCGTGCGCCTCGTACCTCCTCACCGTGCGATCTGACTGCCATCTGCCTCGGGCCTTCACGACTGGCAACGACCTTCGCTTGAGCAGGATGTCGTGACTGGGGCCCGAGTGCCTCATGTGGCAGGGCGTGATCTTGAGCTTTTCGAGACCGACACTCTTGGCAGCCGACGTCATGGCGGGGCCGAGGTGGGAGTACTTGAAGTCGAAGAAGAGCTTGTCTGGCTGGCCTCGGCGGAGGCCCGCGAGCATGTCGCCCAACCAGGGCAGGTCTTCGGAGTCCAGCACCAGGCTCTCCTCGAACAGGTTGACCTTCGAGGGGTGCTGATCCATCTCCTCGTGCATGTGCAGACTCCACAGGATTGCTGACGAGTGTTCGCCCTGCGTCTTCTCGGCGACGGTCGGGTGAACACCCTCTGGGCGCAGGTGGTTCCTTGCACCGCTTGAAATAAAAGTGCGTGGAGGAGAGACGAGCGACTTCTCCTTGAGCCTCATCGCCTCCCCCGGCCGCAGGTAGGCGACCCACATCGTCACCAGCGCGAGCGCCATCAGCGGGTTCCCCATGTTGACCATCTCGAGCCACAGGAGTGCCAAGAGGTGCAGCGGGACAGGAGGCCTGGTTCTGCCTGGCCCCAAACGTCCCCAGCCCTTCAGCGCCTTGCGCGCCCTCGGGAGCATGCGCGTCCCAGCCCTCGAGTAGTCCGGGTGGAAATACATGAAGGCCGCCAGCGTCCTCGCGCCCTCCGAGACGTCCCGACCTGACGTCCACAGGTGTATGATGAAATCCGTGAGAACGAGGTCGGGCTCCCTCTCCAACTTTACTGTCAACTGGTTCGCCGTCGCCCACTCCTGGAAGCTGGCGTTGCGCTGCTCGTAGTCCTTGTAGGTCCTCGCGCTCGCCGAGCTGGACTCCAGGAAAGTGCCCTGTCCCCCGACGGACCTGGCCCTGGCGCTGCCCGCCAGCGAAGCGCGGGAGGCTGCCCGGGCCTGCCTCGTGGCGTCCCCAGAGGCGAGCGTCGTCCTCTTCGTCCAGCTCCAGCCACTCTGCGAGCGAGATGGTGGCTCCACCGCCGGGCGGAGCGTCCGCTGCAGAGGTGGGGCGCCGACGCTGCTCCCAGAAGCGCGAGCCCTCGTCGGCATGGTTGCTCTCAGACGGGATCCAGCGATAAACGTAACGTGATCCTGAGGCAACCGAAAAGGCTGCGGTCTTACGACACGACTTGTTCAGGGCGAACGACGACGAGCGGCCCTTCTCCATGGCCAAGACAATGCCCAAGTTGCCCCCCAAGATGAGGTGGCGTCTACGAAACCCATAGAGGCCCCTTGAGGTGCGTCGACCTCCAGAGGCCATGCCGATACCCTCCAAGACAGATATAGCCCCATCACGATTCAGAAACCTCGAAGCATACTGCAACTTCCAATCGGCCTTCTGGAGATGAACCGGGTTGATCTCGACGAAATCGGGATTCGGCTCGTACGGCGAGATAGCATTCGGCTCGACAATGGTCTTAACGGTGTTTATGTCAGTGAACGGGTCGGAGAAAGCAGGCAGAGCAGCATGACGAGGAGCAGTAGCAGACGGCAGCTTACTTCGGTATCTCCACTTCTCTCTCACCTTCCCATAGTCCTTCACTACCTCCTGAGACCAACGTGTAGAGGCAACGGCATACCCAGAGAGACACGCATCGGTGGCAAGGACCCACTCCGACCACTCCAGGCGCAGATCCGACATGGTGACCTGGATGAGGTGCGAGACCAGACGCGCCTCCTGAGCCGCCTCTGACCACAGACGCCCCGGAGTAGCCCCCTATCTTGGCCGCGAAATCGTACAGCCGTCTGAAAACCGAGGAAGGCGGCGATGCAATGACCAATGAAACGACTTAAGGCGAGTCCCGTGATCCGCGGCCTCCTCGACAAGGCCCGAGCCGCTGCTGCTATTCTCTCCCTCCTCATCGGATCAACCCAAACTTTCATAGCCTCCCCGTCAATGTAATACCCTAGAGCCGTAAACTGTCGCACAGGACCGAACACCTCATGAACAATGAAGCCTGACTTGACAAGCTGGGCAATCACGGCATCACGAGCTGAGACAACACACTCAGGAGTAGAAGCAAGGACAACCAAATCATCGCAATAGACATTGAGGACTGGAAGATCAGAACGCCACTCGGGAACTGGGGCACCCTCCTCCATGAGTCTCGAAGGGGCCCATGGCAGAGCAAGACAGATCTGATGGATATGCACGCGCTGAGCAAGCCACATCGCCCAAGTCCATCCCATCGGAACTGAGCGAAGTCGCGGCCTCACCTGCATCATGCCGCGCAGAGCGCCGCCAAGGTGAGCAGGAACACCCCGCTCCAGAAGCAGCGGCCCCGGCACGGGCGGCAGGGCGAAGTACGGCCGCATCTCGGCAGGCATGGCGAGCCAGAAGAAGTAGTCTGCGATGTCGGAGCCTGCACCCCACATGCCCTGCTCCTGCATCTCTGGTGGGATCTCCAGGCCAGCGAAAGCGGAACCGCTAGCCATGCGGACTTTGGGCGGGCCCCTCCAGCGGATGTTGGCAACCCGACAATCCCACGCCTGTCTCTGCTTTCCTGACTTCTTGCGCACGAAAAAACGGGTAGACGGTCTCGACAGCCTCCGTGCCGAAATCCACAAGATTAGACTCAAACAGGTCCTTCACGAACTGGTGGTAGAGAAACCTGTCACTCTTGAGCCTCATGTCCATGTAGGGCTTAATGGATGCCTGCTGGTCCATGATGGCCCCCATCTCGACGGGCGAGCGGAGCATCGCGGTGGTGAAGCCGTTGATTACGTCTCTGCCAGACTGGTCGATGACGTCCAAGAGCATCGGAGGAGAGGCCCCCGCTGCAGGCATCGACACCCGGCCTCGGTCATACGGCTCCACGCTGCAACTGGAGTCCGCCCCAGCGTAGGAGAACTCCGATCCGCAAAGCGCCTTCAGGGCTTCGCGGTCGTTGTACAATGATGTGCATGAGGGCCTCGCCGCCAGAGTAGACAAAACTTGGCCGTGGGCAGCTCGGTGAGCGGCAGTGGGCCGATGCGAAGCGATGGCGGCTGGGGAGGCTAAAACGTCGAGGGCATCGATGACCCCATTCGCGAGCAGCTGCCTCCCACGCCTCCTCGACACACGCTTGAAGACTGTAGCAGACAACCCAGGATCAGGACGCTCATCCACTTCAACAGATGGCAGTGGGAAGAGGTCGCGCTGGCGACTCGCGTCCACATACCTCTCAAAACCTGCCGAAGCGGGGTCCGCTGACTTTGGCACGGCTCTGCGAGTGGACCAAGCTCGCGAGCCAGGAGGCATGGGCATCATGACTCCCCCTCCCCGTCGGCCGGGGCGAGCCCTTTACCTCCTCTGCCTCGGCCTCCTCGACCTCCACGACCAGTGGGCTGCCTGGTCCGCCTCTCCTCGGCAGCCTTGCGGGACTCCTTGAGGATGGCGGCCTCATCCCTGAACTTGGTGGCGACATGGGCAGCCAGCTCGGGGGCCACTGATGCCGAAACTGTAGCAGGACCCCATCCCATGAAGTGATCTGCTCCTGAGAAGTCTGGAGCAGAGGCTGACTGCGCGTAGGCGGACTTGATGAGTTGAAGCCGTCGCACCACCAACTCCATTGACTTGAGAGCTGGAATGTTCAGCTGATCATGGCAAACTGCCGCAGCGAGCACCTGGGACAGAACGAAGTGCTCGTGGATGGCCCTGTCCCCCTCGTGCAGCTTGGCCTTGCGCAACCACGACTCGTGTGCTGCCTGAGGGGTGGGGCCGTTCTCGGCGACGTGCCGACAGAACCAGGCTGCCGTCCTCGGGCCCTGCAAGTCGATCCCACCAGCTGGCAGGGTGTCATCCTGCCTCTGCACGCCCTCGCCGAATGCCACTCGGCGGGCTCCGCTGGCGT